ACCGATATTGACAAGCTAGAATATAAAATAAGAACCTCTTATCTTTTATATTTGCTAAGATATTGCTCATGTACTGAATCAAACACAATGGCCCCCTTCCACCTCTCCATTTTTGGAAATGCTCCATTATATACACTTACTTCTGTATATGACATGAATAACCAATCAAAAGCTCAGAATGGCCCCTAGTGTCTTTCTCAGCCAACTTAAATTGTTAGGATGGCTTCTTGTTCTTTCAAACCAAGATTTCCAGGAGGTAAGTTGTGTCTTTAGTCTGCTCGAAATTTCATATTTTTTTAGACTGAAACACAGCTTAGTTACTAAGCTTGATAAATTATAGTTGAATTCTATGATATTGATATAGTAATTTATGATTTTTTGGTTATTCAACTGAATATATATAAAACCTAAAACAAATTATTTCGTTTCATATCCTCCACATGTGAAATTTTTAAAGGCTTAGCAACCTACGTCAAGCAGCAACCAAGTACAAAGGATCATAACTAGAAGAGATAATTGTTTGCTTTACTTCTTTATTTACTGTTCTATATTTTAAGAAAAATAAGTTTAATAACTTATTTCTAAATAGCAATAATCTGTATACATATATAATGTATAATAATTGAAATGTGACTGTATTTTACAAAATACTAGTCTACTAAAATGCAACCAAGACAGGTCAGTTTTATGTTATTGGATATGTTAACATGAGTGCACATGTGCCTCATTATTGTAACTTCTGTGTCATTAGCCAGGCATGGCTGAAAGGTCAATATAATAATAAATATATATAAGTGTAATATCGTTATGAGATTTAAGCTATTTAATCTAAGTATTTATGTTTTTGTGTTATAATCTGTTGTCATTCTAGAATGAAAGAGGCATAATTTATATTTATTTCCTAATTCTTTATGGTTACGAGATCGCTCAAATCTATTGAACCTGTAGAGAGAATAGTTAGTGAAAATAAAAGATAAAATATTAGTTTTTTTTTCATAAGAAACATTTGATAACTATCTGGACATTATAAGGATTTTGCATTTGAAATTTGAAAATTTTCTGATGCATAAAAGTATTTTTAATCTTAAAATGAAAATTACTTTGCATGTTGGATAGGCAACAAGCAAAAAGAAAAAAAAGGCATGAGAAGAACATTGCTTTACAAACCTTTGATATTTTGTATATGAAAGCATTGTAATGTTCACTGATAATCTGAAAAAATTTCGTTAACATGCACTTACTGATTTAAAAGTTATAGCATGAAAACTATAACAAGCATAAAATGGTTATGATATAGTCCCAGGGATCGAGCCTGTGCTGAAAGAGTTGATATTAGCTTACCTGTCTTATGAACAACAAAAACTATAAATATTAATGTAATAAGACTGTAGTGTAAATGTTTAGTATGTATTTTGTTTAGCATGTTTGTTTCTCTAAAACAACTTATGTGTACTATTTTTTTATTACGTCATTCAGAGTTTAGTACAGTTGGAAACTCTTGGAGAATTTGGGGTCCTCTTTATTTTGTTTGTGGTTGGACTAGAGTTTTCTGTAGATAAAATAAAAAAGGTATGGGATTGAATAAAATTTCCTATCTATTTTTGTGTTTTAAACAAAGAAGTATTATCACTGTAAAATAATTAGTTAGCTAATTACTCAAAAGGAAAAGCTCAGTTGAGGTAGAAAAGAAAAAAATTGAAACTATTGGCAATTTGAAGAACAAAGTAATTGCCAAAGCATTACAGATTTTTTTTTTTTAATGAAGGAACTGGCTGTATGAAAAGTTAAAATTATTAAACACTAAACATGTTAATCTATACCAATTTATCATTTTCCCTGTTTTTTTCCAAACATCAGCAATATGTCTAATGTGTCAAATGGTAATAAACTGTTTAACTCTCTTATTACCAAAATGTGAGATAGACTAAATGACCAACATGATTTATATGCCTCTCTTGATCATTTTAAATAATATATTAGTGAAGCACGCAAAAAAATAATGTAATAATTAATTTCTTATAACAATAAAATTATAAGAATTTGACCTATTGCAAAAAACATTGCGTATGTATGTTGGTAATCAAATGGTTAATGTTTTTACTTATGAACCTTTTTTTCCTCACCAAAATGTGAATTTCAGTGAAGAAAAAATGATGTAAAGGCCTAAAGTATTCTTTAATTAACTACTTCCATTGCAGCAGACTGTTTTTTCTGAATTTGCAGCTCATCAGTGATTCTTGGAGGAGAAAAACAAATATACAAAGTAGGCCTCTTATAGTGGCAGGATGTAAGCTGTTTGTTTGGTTTCAGTGTATAGTCATTTGCTTACTACTAATAACCTAAGATACTGTACTTGTTTGGACAACATGTAACTAGTTTGCTGCAGTGTCAGTAAAGAATCAAAGAATAGATTAAGCCTGTTTGTGGTTCTTTCTTCATCAAAATTCACATTTTACTGAGGAAAATAAATTCACAAGTAAATAACCAGTTACTGTTCTGAATAATAACAGATAATTAATTGTGATGGTATGTCTCTTAGCTATACAAACACCTAAAGTATTTAAGGGTGTACTATTCTTTTGTGTTTCAAATTACTGACTTCTATAGTGCTGCTAATTGGGTGGAAATTTTGGTGAATTAGAATTTATCAGGTTAAGTTAATTTGCTATACAGTTACATTCAAATTCTGTTTATCTCTATGATCACTTTTTTGATGTTTATTCATTGTATCACCTAAATGTGCAACATGTGCTTTCTTAGTTTGCCAATACCATTTCAATGTAACCTTTTCATTCTCTCTGTAGTAATAAGATAAATTTTAGTCAATTATTTGGAAATGTATAACTGTTTTTAATACATTACTTAAAATCGAGTCAAGGAAGAAACTTGTATAAAATATATATTATTAATATTTTGTTTCTCAGGCATTTGAAATATTAATCTTTTAATAATTAAATAAAATATATATATTATTAATATTTTGTTTCTTGGGCATTTGAAATATTAATCTTTTAATAATTAAATAAAATATTATGGCATACAATGCACTAAATTAGAATATTTAGTGATTAAAGACTTTTCTACACCTTTTTTTTTCTTTCTTTTGCAGCAGCATGATTTTAAGTATGTTAATTTCTGGATTCTTTTAGCTATGGAGAGTTATTTTTGTCAGCACCATTATAATATCATTAATTTCCATTTGTCTGGGAGTCCTTGTTGCAGTGCTAGTAGACCTTCCAGTTAAGCAGTGTGGTTTCCTTGGTGCTTGTGTGTCTTTGTCAAGCACTCCCCTTGTGATCAAATTTCTTCATGCTGGAAAAGATAAAGTAGAAGGCCCAGGTGATATAGATTAATATTTTATTTACTGGTATGAACTGGATAAAGACTAGTTTTTTCATAACTTAATTTAGGATGGTACACATATAGTACATCATATGTTCATTAATCATTTATGAAATACTTTCAAAGTGGTACTTCAGTTTATGGTGAGAATTAACTACAAATAATCATTAATAACTTCCGATCAAGACTTGAAAAAAATTTGCACAATTTAAACTACATGTAGATTATATGTACACACACAATTTGGTTTTTATCATATTTAAAGCTAACAGTTTATCAATAAACTAGTCTATTTAGATGCATAAAATTACAATCTAATAAACTTAGACTTATTGTTAATACTAGGTACAGAACTCCTATTGATGTTAAAGTGGGTTTGACACAATTTGTCATAAAAGTGTGTAACATTAAATTGCCCTTCTAGGTAAAAAAGAAAACTGAGAAATTTAACAGCCTTTATTGATTCTTGTTTCTTTATCCTTGTCTTAGGGAAGTGTCCATTTAAAGTATAATGAAAGTTATTTGGTCATATACTCCTGATTTTGTATCTTGTATATGACCTTTTAAATTTAAATTTCTGGGGGATCTGCTATGTCTAATATAGCTTTAAGCTGTATATGTGTAAAAAAATTTAATCTTTCAGTGTTTAGATGACTTCACAGTTGTAAAGCTTTGTTTATGTTTCTTTGCTTTCACATGTGCATTAAGGTTCTCTGGTGAATCCTTTTGTAAAGTTGAATGTCAGATGTGCTTATATTATATATAAATGAATTTTGGCTTTGAGTCTAAATATGTTAGTGGAATGAGACCATTTTAAGAATGTAACAATTTAATACCACAAAACAAACTGACTGCCTGATTAACCAGATTTATGATATTGTAATTAAACAGTCAAGAGTTGTAGAATATTCAGATTCTTTGTTTCTGTGATAAAAGGCCAAGTGGAGATGGGATATGGCCCTCCACTGATGGGAATCCTAATTGTTCAAGATATGCTTCTTGGATTGCTGATTGCTCTTCTACCCATTCTTGCTAGTCATCGTAAAGAAGATTTGTCAGTTTTAGCATATTTTTTAGCCACCTTAAAAGTAATTGCAGGTATGCTGATTATTTATCGATTTAGTGAGTATTTAATAATAGGAAATAACTGAGCATTTATCAGAGTAAATATGTTCTAACAATATCAAGTATGTTGAATGTTTATCAAATCAAAATTGGTTTAAGAACATCAATTATACTGAATGTTTATCTGGTTAGAAATTATAAAGTAACAGCAATTATAACAAACTTAAGATTAATTTCTCAAGTTTAAAATGTTCCACTATTATAAACATTTTAAATGTTTGTTTGTTTTTTTGTATAGTAAACTTACTGAATACTTGTTAGGTTAAAATATTAGTGCTCTGAATGTACTGTAGATAGGTTAAAGAAGTTATGTGTTCCAGTATTAATAATAAACTGAACATTTTAAAAGTTATATGTTGTTGTTTTTTGTTGTGGATATACTAAGTATATGTGAACTTATGATGCTACAGAACTAAGAATATGTTGAATACATTTTAGTGTGAAAATTTTAAATTATTGTGAATATACTAACCAAGTTAATAAGTATATTCTGACATCTTATAAGTTACACAAGCTTGTATGTTGTGGTTATACTGAACATTTGTCAGATTAGAAACATTTTAGTATTGAAAAATTTGTTAGCCAGTTATCTGGTTAAAGATATTCTAGTAAAAACTGTACTGAACATTTTTCAACTTAATTAATAGCAGATATGTTAGAAATTTATTAAGTGCTCTTGTAATACAAATAAACATTTTAAAAATATTTTTTAATGATAAAGTCTGAATTATAATGCTCATGAAACTGAACTGTCTGTGCATCGTGTTTGTACCTTAACCTTCAGTAATGTGTGAATAATTATATTATCATTTTGTACTAATGCAAAAAAAAAACAAGTTCTAAGGTAATCTTCTGTACTGGCAAAAAAAGGCTATTTCATTTAAATCTATCATTTAATATATGAGTGTTTCAAATTTTTTACTGATTTCAGCTCATTAGAAAAGTATTAAATTTGGTTATAACTCTGAAAAATCTTTTTCCTTTTCATTGAAGCTGATTAAATATTATAAATTAAGTAACTTAAAACATCTATTTTGTTCAGAAATATTTGAACATTATTGTTTAGCTGCTAGCTTTATCAGCTTCATTGGTAGTTTGTGCAGTCTGAAGTTGACAGTATGAAATAATATGCAGTAACTCTAAACTCAGTTGGAACAGGTGATCAGTACACTGTTATGTGTACAAATTTGTAAACCTTAAACTTATTGTTTTTATAAATCTGTTCTCTATATTATGTCTTGGTGTAAGTGAAGTGACAAGTGACAAGTATTTTTTTAATTTTCAATAAAGTACTATTCTGCATGTGTCATTATTTCTTAAGCATTTGATATACAAGTTGTTATTACTACATAATGTATAAATCATGTATCACTAACTGAGTTGATATTTTAACTTCTAAAATTTTAATAACACAACTGTTTATTGAACTTTTTTGTCTCTTTTTTTTAGCCATCTGTGTTGTTTTAATCCTCAGTACATTTCTTGGACTGTTGCTTGTACGGCCTGCACTTTTGCACATCAGTAAATATATGAACAAGGAAACCCTTCTTCTGGGAGCTGTATCTTCTGCTTTTATTATGTTAATGGTAAGATTTAATCCAACAGTAATTGGTTAAGACCTATGTAGTTTCTTTGATTCAAGCATCTGTAATCCACAAGTTACTCTATGATAAGGAACATCAAAGAATAGCCTAATCAGTTTGATGAATGTCATGGACAAAAGGGTTGCAGTAGGGGGAAGAAACACCCTCACCTACCAATTAAATTCAGCTGACAAAAAGGCATTCTGCAACTTTGGGCTTTCGGGTTTTTGAAAAATATATTGAGAATCAAGAAACAAATTTTTCCTTTAGCTTGTATATTTTTATTTTTAAGGGATCTTTTATTATTTGCAATTGAGGATTTGAAAATCCAACTAGAATTAACTTGTACTGAATAGTAAGAATTTGTAAATACAAACTTTGCATTCCACTGTTATTTATAATTTTGAATTTTTGTCTTTTTTTTCTTTATTATTACTAAAAAATTGAAAACTAAACAACTACTGATAAGTCATTTGGTGTCATTCTTTAAATTTTACCTAATCATGTGGAGTTAGGTTTATGAAATCAAAAATGAAACCACTTGGCAAAAGAAAGCTTCATAGTTGTTTATCATGTTGCATTCTGTGTTACTTAGTCTTTCCCAACTTATGAAGTATTTATTTTTTATTAATATACTGAGTTAAGTCTCATGAATTTCATCTTTTCCCATGCAACTTTTATGTGAACTTCACAAAATATTCTATAAGTTACTGAACAACATTTTTCATGATATTTTTATACAAGAAAGAACTAATATAAGTCTGATTTTCCTGAATGATGATCAAATACCATTATAACATGATATGTGTCTAAAAGTTTCCACTTGTAAAAGTTTGACAAAACGAAAATATGTGTACATAATGCTTGAAAGACCCAACTTGAACTAAATGGTGTATTTGAAAGATAGAAAATTGTTTTTTTTTTCTTAAAACTTTCCACGCACATTTATTATGTTTCAACAATACTATTTATATTTATAAGGTAGTTACCCAAAAAAATTATATAAAAAAATGTACTTAAAGCAAAAATTCAATGAATCATGAGACCTGGATATCTATTTCAGTTTGCATGCATCACATTTTGTAGAACTATGCATTCATGACGATAATTCTCATTCATTTTGTATGTGAAAGGTTGCAAGTTGTGATTAGAATTAGTCATTTGTTTATTTTTCATTTTTCATAATGTGGTTGTATTGCCACTTGTCACAGAATAAAGGTTTTCATGATCCCAGTTCGTGCAGTTTTTAGTTTTAGATTTTCTATGCAGACCCAAATATGATATTGTAATTGGATTACAAAATAAAAAAATAACTTTCATTAACTAATAAAATGCAAATAATAACCAATCAAGAATTGTAGGTCTGAGTAATATTAGCAATCATCAACTCATGTAAATTAATTGCAGAGAACTTACACAAGTTTAAGACTGTTATTATTGAATTATTTCACAGTGATAAATAAAGAAGGATTTTTGTATCAAATTTGGCTAATTGAAATATTGGACATATTTGTGTGTGTGTGTGTGTAATTTAATAATTGTTTATGTAATCAGTTGATTACTGGCTTATTTTCTTAGCAAGCTAAGTTGGATCTTTTATCCTGGCCTGATTCAGAAATACACATTTTTTTAATTGAAGTATTACTTGTTTTTAATTGCCTCTATTTTAGTAATGAGCAGTTGGTTTTAGTGTTATTTTAGGGTCAAACTTGGCTTAATGGTTATCGTTTCATGCTACATGTTTTAGGATTGAACCACAGTACTCTCGGTTAAAAGTAGCCATATAGGTGGTTGGTACAACTGAGTGGTTACCCTCCATCTGGTAGGCAGTTCTAAGTAAGGTATGGTTATACCTGAACTGCAGAGATTCTCTGATCTCATCGTATAGTCCATTTGTTACATAAGATGTTATTAAGACTGAAACTTCCAATTTTTAGTTAATTGAATATATCTACCATCTTTATGTTTAAGAGGAATTAAATCTAATAAGTATTTTTGTTTGTAGAATTATAAATAAACTGTTTTTGCATTAAAATACTTTTTTGTGAGTTTTCAGCCCTCTTACTGGAGCCTTCATCGTGCAACAATGTACTGAGCAATACAAATTTATTTATATATGGATCATTGCTTTAAAACAGGTGTCTAGCCAACAATTACAACAGTAACTGACATCTGGTATTAATGTCATTAACAATGTATAAGTTATGATGAATACAGAATTAACAGTCACAGATTTAAGCCTTTACATAAATTGATAATCAAAACCTTGTTCTTTGTAACTATATAACAATACAAAAATCTTGTACACATTATTGCTTAACAATATTTAAGATAAAGCAGTTACTTAAATATAACAAACATAAAGAAAATACAGTTATAGGTATTATTTAGAAAAATATAGTGTTCATACTTTAAATAATACATTATTATATGGTCTAACCTGTCTCAACTACTAATAAACCACAACCTGATAATCACAACAAAAGGAAAAAATATTTCTTCCTTATATACAGGCCTAGGGGAAAAATTTTGTAGGATAATGAATAAACTTAATATCACCATAGTTTTCTTAAGTTCTCCTACACTACAGTCTTATAAAGATTAAATCCCTAGTTCTCAGTCTTCTCACAAAGAATGTGGTTTATGGCATGCAGTGTGAGTGTAATAAACAATGCTTTGAAGAAATACAATGCCTGTTACAGATAGAATTCAAAAAACACCAAAGGGATATTAAGAACTGTGCTACAAATACTTCAGCTATATCTTTTCATGTTCAGTAAAATTACCTTATAATAGACTTAAAAAATGCAAGAATAATACAGACAAGAGAACACCAAATGGAGAAAAATCAGAGAAGCTATTGTGAACCACCAGTGGGTATTAATCAAAAGAATGGCCAATAACTTCTCAATACTGCATGGGCTCCACTTAGCAAAGATGTAAAAGATATTATTTGTCCTGGTATTGATGTAAAATCAAATGTTAATGTTTACAATGTATAATTTGAAGTATGAACAATTTATTTTTCTGTATAATACCAGTAATTGGATTTTCCTTATGGTTATTGTATTCAGGTAATTGATTTATCTTAAATATTGTTATGCAATAGTATGTATAAGATCTTTATACTGTAACACAGTTACAAACACCGAGGTTTTTGATTATTCAATTTATGTAAAGGCTTAAATCTTTGATTGTTAATTCTGTATTCATCATAGTCTATATATGGTTAATGACTTTAATACCAGATGTCAGTTTTTGTAATGATTGTTGCCTAGACAACTGTGTTAAAGCAATTTTCCACAGATAAATGAATTTGTATTACTCATTACATTGTTGTCTAGTCCAATCAAGGCTCTGTTAAGAGGGTGAAAAGTTCCTAAACAAAAGAAAGGTATTTTAATGTAGAGAACAGTCCTTGCATAATTCTACTTATTAGTTTACTTACATTATGTACCTAAAAAACAATTCTTTCCATAGTGGAATGATAAAAACTATTTTCTAAAAACATTGTTACCTAGGTGCCCACACTATGAATATGGAAAACGTGATTCCCAATTACTATTTTGAAAAAGTTGATGTTTATTTTTAACAGAAGGTTGCAGAACTATGAGTATACATTTAGTAGTTTATATCTAAGTGTAAAATCCAGAGAACTCTAAGTTAGGATTTTTAAAAGTTTACATTTAGGAATTGCACCATATTGAAAAATGATCCAAGATAGTTGTTAGAAAACAAGTTATCATTGTTTTTAGGTCACAGACACATTCAAAATATCTATGGAGTTGGGATGTTTCATATCTGGTGTTGTTCTTACCTCACTGTCACATCCTCTGGTGGAAGAAATAATCACCATTGTTCAACCTGTGAGAGACATTTTTGCATGTTTGTTTTTTGCTACAGTTGGTAAGTTATGTTATGTAGATTAAAGTAATTTTTCTAGAAATTGATTTCTTAATATATTTTTGTGAGGTAAACTATACAAGATTTCCAATTAATTACTTCATAATTAATGAAAAGGGAGGTTTTAATAAAGACTTAGCAATGATTAAAAATTTGTTTACAATGATATATTTGTATTCTTTGATAGATTGTTTAGGCAGAGTATTCATGATGAATAAACTGAAATGGACAGCAACTGTCTGTTGTAAAAAACACAAGTGTGGAGGACGACTTTTTGAAAGACAGAAGACTCAGGACATCGTTGTCCATTCCAGTTTACTCATCACGATATATTTGTATTTTTCTAGTTTCTGTTATTACCAGTTTTAAAAAGAACTGTAATAATTATAACAATAAATGGTGTAGCACTCTAACTGTTCTAATATTTACAGTAGACAAGCTCCTTCTCGTGTAAATCTTTTTTATTGTTTTTTTTAGTAGCTCAGTTTGGTTAATAGATGTATCAATGTACTTGAAATAGTCGATGTACAACAATTCAATCATAATTTGATGAATGATATGTGTGCTGTTGAGTGAATCTGAAAGAGCAAGTGAAATGAATTTTATATCTTCAAAAAGATTTTTTTCTTGAGCCTTTTTTGGTGTGTACTAAAAATAACTTTATTCATAACCTATCTGTGTAACCACTGGCACTCATTATTCTTACTAACCAAAGTGTTATTTGACCTATTCTATAATATCTTTGCTTTTACTGAAATGAAATAGTGCTTTTTAAATCTAGGAGTTCCTTTATTTTCTGTCTTGCATGTATCATTACTAATTTTTTACTGATTTTTTGTAAATAACATGTATTTTTCTTCAAATCTTGTATATTCTCTTCCTTGCATATAGTTAATGCTTGTGATACTAATAGATGGACCTTCCTAATTCATGTATATTTCAGGACTACATATCTTTCCATCCTTCTTAATCTATACTGCCTCAATTATTTGTTATTTTACGATAGCAGTAGTTCTTGTGAAGGTAAGGCCCTACATCATTAATATTTAAAATTATTGATTTTTCTTATTTTTTTCTTTATTTCATACTTTAGACCATGTTTTGTTCTTTGGTTTATACTCAGTTTTAGTCCAATCAACAAACGAGTAATATTGTATTTCTACAATTAAAAATACTATTTTCTTGACAGTATTGTTTGTATTAAACTTAATGCATTTTATTTCACAAGCTAATAAATCTATTTATAACTTAACTTTTTAAGTAAATTGCTGTCTATCATGGTTTGAATCCACTATGGTACTAAAACTAGCAGAGCGGTAAACAGTATCAGGTTATTTGATTAGAAACTTTAATATGAAATATTATACATATCTGTAGAAAAACAGTCTTGGAATAAAACTTAATTGCATTTATAACAAATTACAAAAATACCACTTAAATATCAATTAACGTAGTTGGTTTAGAAGTATGTGTTATTTTCAATATAATATCTTACCTCATGTATAACAGCTTTTCTTGACGTATACTGCCCTGTACATGCAAAATTTTTGCTTGCCACTAGCCTTGTACTCCCACCTATTTTCACGTGTTTTCAAATGAGGCTTGATAGCATGCAAATTAGAATGTGTCACCAGTAGGAGTGTGACACAACTCCTACACATCTGACTTCCTCTATGCAGCTTAGCTCAACTTCATTACTCGATTGGTACTCGTGGTGTTTAGACGTGTTTTTTGGAGAGCTTAGTTCTTTTTATAGTTTCTTACACTTCACATCTCTAATTTTTCGTTTCTACGTGCTAATATTACGGGTCTTTAATAATTTCTTTAGTTCAAACTGTGTGGATTTTTTCTTATTTCCACTCCTAGTTATCATGAATTCAGAGTTTAATATTACTACTGCTTGTTGTACAGCAATTACCCTTATTTCATCTACAATTGCTTCAGGTCCACAGTTATCGGCAGAAGACATTACAGACTTGGTCCACTTTCAGGCTTAGATTTGCCTGCAGATTAACCTGTCATGGGTACTTGAACAAAAGGACAATGATTTTGACAGTCTGTTTTCTCCCCCATCCTATGCCACAAAGTCATGCTTAGCTCCAGTGGATAAGCCCAGGCCTCCTCCTCCTTTCCTGGAGTTTATCAACCAGGTTTGTTATGTTTTGTTCTTGTTTATTGTTTCTTTTGATTCCTCTAAGCCCTTTTACATGAGCCACCTTCAGCCCAATATTTTTTTCTCCCCCTCACAAGATATTGGGGTTCATGCCAATAGGTTTGAGGACAAATTACATTCTGAGGTCAGTATGCCTCAACCTCCATGTAATATGGAAGCCCATGATTTAGCATATCATCAGTCTGACTTTTCATTTTTGGATTCACAGCAGTTGAATTATCTTCTCCTTTGTGGGGTTTGGATCCCAATACTTTGGTCACATTTTCCCAATCTCAATTCTCCCATATTTGCTTCATCTTATCCTCCCTCCTTTTCCCTTTCCTCTGTTCACTTTTTGTCTGCGGCCCTTCATCATTCCTCTGAGAGGTTTTTGGTGGACACTTGTGTCCCTATTTTTTCCACTCTGGCACTATTGTCCTTTTCTGCTCTGTCCCTCCAAACATGGCTTCTCTGTTGTTGGGATCTTTTGGATCGGGACAGCCTTTTGTTCAGTGTGTTTATCCCCAACCTCCTTATGGGATTTGCATATGGCTCCCTTTTTAAGGCAAGATGTTTTTATGACCTTCCTGACTCATTAGAATCCAGAATCAAGTCCGCCTGTTTGCACACCTCTTTTTTTCATTGGCTTCCTGTTTATCTCAACCTCCTCCTGAGCCTATTTCTGTGTCTCATCCCCCTCCTTGTTCTCCTTTACCAGTTTATACTTCAGGGGTCTCCTAGGTCAACCATCTGTTTTTGTTTTTTTTCATTGACGACTTTAGTGCCCCTGGCTGTCACAGTGACTATGTAGTAGGTACAGGTCTGGTGGGAGCCAGGCTTTTGCATTTTATCACTGTGTGGGGATTTTTCACCACAGACCCTTGGGTTCTGTGGATTCTCTCCAAAGGGCTCATTCTTTGTTTTCTTCCCCTGTCCCCTCAACCCATTTTCTTCCCCCTCCTCAAGATCGCATTTCCAACCAGCGTCTGCCTAAGGTGGTTCTTGACCTTCACAAGGATAATGTGGAATGGGTGGATCCTTCTCATCCAGGTTTTTATTCCCATTTGTTTGTTGTCCCTAAGAAGACTGGGGACTGGCACCCCATCATTGATCATTCTTCGTTCAACCGCTTCCTCAACCTTCCTCGATTCACCATGAAGTCATACCTATCTTTTCAATGGGTTTTCACTTCTGGTCTGTGGATGATGAAGGTAAATGTTTTGAATGCTTACCTCCACATTCCCATCTCTCCAGCATCCCAGGATTTTCTTTTTCTTTGTTTTGTTCATTGGGGTTGCATCTACCTGATCCAGGTTCTTATGTTCAGACTGGCTTCAGCTCCCTATGTTTTTTGTTTGGGTGGTCAAGACTTTTGGCCATCTTCTTCATTCCAGGAGCCTTCATTTCCATTATTACATGCTTCTAGCTCCTTTGCATGCCACCTCTTCCCTTCACACTCAGTTTCTTTTTCCTCGAGAAGCTGCACAGGTAGGTTGATTGATCAAGGTGGAGAAGTTCTTCCTCTCCCCCACTTAATTCCTTGTTAATTTTGGAATATTTTTCGATTCCTGTTTCAGTTGGGTCCAACTTTCTCTCCTTCACCTGGATCTGTTTTGCTTCTGGTTCAGACCATTTCTTCCTCTCTTCTTCAATTGTGCAAGAGGTTCTATCTCTTTCAGGAATGTGGGCTTCTTTGGAGGCCTTCATTCCCCTTGGTCGAGCCCATTTGTGACCTCTTCAGTGGGCTTTACAAAATCAGTGGAACCTTGTTTGGGATCCATTGGACACCCCTATCTAACTCCCTCCTTCCCTGCATATGGACTTTGCCTGGTGATTGAATTGAGACAACACCACAGTGGGTGTTCTTCTTCCTTCTCATCATCCAGAGGTACACCTTTTCATGGATGTTTCTCTTTCAGGTTGGGGTACGTATCTGGAATGCAGGAGTGTTAGGATGTTGATCTGTAGTAGAGTCATATCTGCATATCAAGCTCTTAGAGCTGCTTGCTGTTAATTGAGCTTTGGGTTATTTCAAGCCCTCTTGGTTGCTCCACTTTTGCTGGCACAGCCGTGATTTTCACTTCCGTGCCTACTCATACTGACACCTCCTCTTCCCCTCTTACCTATCCTTCTTAGACAACCTCATTTGGGTGCACTAAATTGTTCCCTTCCCATGCTCTATCCTTTGTCTGGTCCCTTACCAGATGGGCTGGACTATCCTCGATAGTTGCTTCCCTAATTTCCCATTCATTGTTCCCTTCCTCCATGTCAGTTTACCAACATAACTAGTTATGGTGCTCGACTTGCAATCTGAGGGTTGCAGGTTTGAATACCGATCCCACCAAACATGCTTGCCTGGGAGCATTATAATGTGATGGTCAATCCCACTATTCATTGGTAAAAGAGTAGCTCTAGTCTTTCACTGCTACATTAGGGAAAGCTAACACAGATAGCCCTTGTGTAGCTTTGCTCGAAATTCATAACAAACCAAATCCTCTTCCTACCATAGGCTGGGTATTCATATCACAGTGCAGTTGATGTTGGTTGAGGTAGGATTCCCCATTACAGTCCACTATGACCTGGCCATTGTATACCACGGGTCCCTTAATTTAATTTATGTGGTTTCCTTTGTGATTCCACTCTTATTGCGACATATCAATTTCATGGATGAAAAGTATACCTGCCTCAGAAGTGGTGCAATCTCCCATGGGTGTGTTTTACATACTCTTTATTCACACACCCCAATAGAGCTCATCTAGGTTATGTTACACCAGTCCCTCCATCAGGTCAGTGTGGGGTTCTAGCTGTTATGTGACAGGAGGTAAGACATCATATAGGAAGTTAACGTTTTCCTACACTGAAAATGTAATTACGATATATTCTTATCTCCTTTCACACTTTCCACCTTTCTTCTCCACTTCCTGTGTCTTTTTCTTTTTATGTTGCTCAAAGTGAAGTTGAGCTAAGTTGCATGAAGGGAGACAGCTGTGCTAGGAGTTGTGTCCCACTCCTATTGGTGGAAGGTTGTCATGTGCTAATTTGCATGCTATCATACAGCTGCTTCACATGAAGGTAGATGGGAGTATCAAGTTTAGTCACGATCAAAAATTTGTGCATATATAGAGGGCAGACAAGTCAAGAAAACCTGTTATATGAGTGGAGTTTCGAATCTATCTTTGATCAATAGTTTGAAAAAATGTTCATATTCATTAATAACCTAGTGGTTACACTGGTATTATGGTTAGTTTCTTTATGAACACAGAGTTGTTCTCTAATGTTTATGAATCACTGGGACATTTTTGTAGTGTTTGATATTAAAAATGGGAATTTTCCCCTATAAAATATATAACTATTTATACATGCATTTCCATGGTTAAAAAACTGATTTTTATTTCTGAAATTTGCTGTTTTTACATTTTTAATAACAATAACTCAGTATATAATTAAGATATAATTATGTTACTCTACCAATTACACTTTAGTGGGGTTGAAAACTTTAATCAAGTTCAAGTGACCAAAGTACAATTTGATACGAGATTTTTAAATTGGATTTTATTTCATTAATTAAATATTTTAATAAGCACTAGAGAAGGGAAGAAGGAGTAATAATGATAATATAGATTTGTATGATTATGGGATGAAGTTTTCTATTACATTTTATTATTTTTTTTACATTTAATTCCAATATAAGCTGCTTAGCTGTTTATTATATTTAAATTAAGTAATGGTAAATAATGAATAGAAGTCAGACTATTGGAGAACTATGTTCTAAGCTAGAAAGTTTCATTAATATTACATTGAAAATAGATATTTTTCAATACAATTTTGAAAATTTGTGATTATGACTGTAAAAACATTATACTGTTATCTCAGAAGTAATTCATTTTCTCAGTTTTGCAGTAGTTTTCTTGTTTTGAGAATACTACTTCGTCGCCGAGGATGGGCCATAATATGTCTGGTTTCAGTAGGACTCGCTCAAGTCAGTGAGTTTTCTTTTGTACTTGGAAGCCGAGCTCGACGATTGGGCTTAATCTCTAGAGAGGTAATTAAGAGTTATGTCTTCTTTTTTTTTACATCATTACATTTCAACATAACTTACAGACAGCTGTGTTACTGGGAATAAACTGATGTAATCACATTTCTTAGCTACTTAAGTGAGCCTTATGTTAGCACTCAGTCAACATTTACATTTGTACACAGTAAACTAGAGAACATAGTCATATAGAACATAAAATATGTTTTTTTTTATATGAAAACTATATTTGCTCTAATACCACTATTGTTCTATTTCAGTGGACTAATTTCAGTAGTAAATCACAATAGAGATGACATCATTTAACATGTTAAGATATATGTAGGCCACTCTGAAGATCAGTGCAGTTCGGAGGAAGGTTTTTTTAATCTGTGTTATGTTTATTAGCGAAATGTACCATAATTTGGTGATTATCGTTGGTCTTTATTTAAAGAATGTGTCATTAACAACCTAAAATGACCCACCACATCACAAAATAGTATAATGGGATGGAAATACAGTTTCAATAGTCATGCCGTGCTCCTAAGTCATGCTGTAACACAGCAGGTATAAGGAATATAACATAACCTAAGTTAGAATGATCTGTTGTAAAATACAGAACTGATACTCACAGACATTGTTGTTTGTGTAGATGTGTTAGTGTGCATTAAATTTCAACTCTATGCTCTAAAGAGAGGCAGCTGGCACGGGATCTGTTGAGGGGTCCAGCAGTGGGATATTCCAGAGCTCACTAGAAATGTATACTACGTAATGAGCTAAAATGGATACTGCTTTTTCATGGATTCGTGAAGAAATTTTTCACCTAATTCTCTTTTATGAAAAATCAGCAAAAGTTAATAAATAGAATGAATATTACTAACCCTGGGGCCTAGGCTGGCTCTCAACGCCCCTGCTGAAAATTACAAAAACCAATGTGTGATTTTGTGTTCATGGCTAACCCGTCTAATATGATCTGGTAAAGTAAACTTCAAATAAAAAAAAGTGTCAAAATAATATACTTCATAATATGTGACTTCAAAAGTTAATTCAATATATCCTTAAATTGCATAACTCAAGAAGTCTTGAGAAAATGTTTAAAAGGTTTTAAAAAAATGAAATTTTATTGGTGCTGTTACATAAGTTCCAAAATGGCTCTTTGTGAAAGTTAAAGTTACAGTCATTGAGTTAAATTTTTAAATGTTTTTTGTTATGACTACTTAAGGATTATAAAGCCAACTTCAAATCAGTATAATAGTCCACTAAAATGGTTAATATGTCAGATGTGACAATTCATCATGTGTTAGTTCTTTTTCAAGGAACAAATGTTGCTACTGTCTTGAGTTTGGCTAGTATAGTATTAAATCTAATTCTTTATACAATAGTAATGGTAACTTAAAGCAACAGTATAGAATAAATAGACCAAGGACTAATTATTGAAAAATATGAATTAAATTAAAAACATTCCTTGTTTGACTACGAGGCCAGGTGTGCTGCACCACTTGCACCTGCGTAAGTTCACCACTCTGTCTAAACCATTTACCCATAGGAAATCAAATATTTTGTCAATATCATTGTCATTTTCGATTATTCTGGGTTTTGAAGCATGTTTCAAAATTAAAAGTTAGATGCTTAAAACTATGCATAATATTTCAATATTAAGATGAAAATGTTTACTGTGTGCTATCAGTTAATGAGCAATACACTTTCCACAGTACCATCTCTTTATGGTGTTCTCATAATTAAACTGTTGTAAAATATACTATTTTTTGTTTGTTTTTCATTTAGAAAAATAAGGTATTTTTCCCTTTAATTAGTGATGTAGTTCTCAGTGAAATAAATATTTTCTTTGACATATCCCTAGAAAAACTTTCAAGTGATAAATATATATCTGCATTCTCTTATTTCCAGGAATACTTACTTCTGATCAGTGTTACCACGCTAAGCCTACTGTTGTCCCCAGTAATGTGGAAGCTGACAATATGGCTTGTTGAGACGTGGAATAAACAAAAGTGACCAACTTTTCTAGACATATATAACATAGCACTTCTGGGTGTACCACTAAGTATTGCATACATACTATTTCACAAACTCACAGTCTGTTTTTTCAGTTTTAGAATTGTGATATGCATGTCACGTAACATTTTAACATATTATGATGGAAAAGTGTATCAAGGATGATCAATCTAGTGTTGAGTGAAACTTATTTTTACTGCTTCTGTTGTCAAACTATATATTCTAAGTGAGTCTTTTAATTTATTAAAATCTAATGTTATTAAATTAAGAATTTTATACATGCTGTTTTTAAATAACTATTATTTTTAATTGTATCACATTATACGATATAATAGTAATGTAAAGTTCTGTTTTTGTAAGTTTAGGCAGTGTGTTCAACATGTGGACTGAGTCTTCTATGGACTTCTGCTGATTCTGAGATGATGTTTTGGGCTTCAAGCTAATCTGTCATCAGGTCAAGCTTAGTGAAAGACTCAGCATGGAACCCAAAGTCTAGTTTCAGGACCATGAAAAAAAAGGCACAAGAAGTCTATAGAAAACTCAATTTAAATGTAAAGGCTGATGTTTTAACCAAGGGCATTTAGGCTATTTTTTATGAATATTTTAAATATTCTAATGAATATAAGTGTAAGTGTTTGTAATGTGTACCATAAGCGTTTGTTTAAATAAAGAGTTGTGTATATTTTTTTTAAGATAATGTATATTCTTAACATTTTATTTTTTGACAGAAGAAATCATGATGTGTGAAAATGGTAAAAAAAATCTTTTATCTTTATAAACCATTTTCTACTTGAGAACTGTCAATTATGAAAACTATTGTAATGTGCAAAAATAAATGAATTAATTGTAAAGACAAGAAACATCAAGATCTCATAGAAACAGAATGTTAGCTGGTTTGTAGCTATGGCAGAATAATGTTGATGTAAGTCATTGGAGGCTTGTGCTTCTTTCAAAAGGAATTTTTTTATGACAGGGATTAGAATTTGTTGCTCAATGGAATTACCAGTTTGATGATTAATTTGTGTTTCTGACATCACCTTTAATCTGGTTAAAAGTTTTTTTAATCAGTCAAAATTTTATCTTTGAATGAGCCTTTAATTATTTCTGATATTTTTTACCAAATGTTGAATGACTTTTAATTTAGCTTTCAGACTGTTTTAACTTTATGGTGCAATATTGTACAATGTTTGGGGGAAAATGTGCTGAAATAGGGCTTAAGTTATTGAAAAATTGGATGAATTTCATGTAATGTTTCTTTTGAAATATTAACAAAAAAACAGCAGTAATTATAGAAAGATAGTTAAATAAGATAATTGTGATTTTGTTTTTGTTTTTCATTATAAAAATAGAATACTTTAAATTTTCTGATATCAGTTGTTTTAGAACAATATTTATTGATAGAAAAAATCAGTCAAAAATGGGATTTGAAAGATAGAACATACACAAGAGTCAAGGTTTCACCAGACTTAACCTGGCATCATCATGATGTTACTGGGTTAACTATAGATAAACATTGACATCTGTATATGTATTTCCTTTCCTATCCCATTTTTAGCTGTTTTGTGTTTTACTCATTTTCAAAATGTTATATGATATATCCAGAATTTCAAATATGTCTATTTGTATTAATTTATTTATACATTAATCTATAAATTCTGTAATAAACAGACATGTAAAGGTTATGTGGGTAGTGAAATAGACATAATATTTTGTAAGATTTTTATAGTTGTTCCCATAAATTGTGTTTAAAAAAATATTCATAAGATTATTTTGACAATAGAATCAGTTTTAAAAGCTAGCTATTGTAATGATTGTGTAGTTGTTGTACATACAATTGTTAGAAGTTAATTATTCTAATGGTTGTATGGTTTGTGCTACAATGCATGTTTAAAAGACTACATATTATAAAGGTTATACAGCTGGAGCTGTATACACAGTTTGTGACATAAGTGCATTGGTAAAAAGTTCAGCTTTATAGATTATAATGTGGTTCAATAGATGTATCTTAACAATTATGTGTTATGCAGGTTTATTGTTGATGCAATATGTGAAATTCTTTTAAAAGAAAAATTTATAAACATAACACAAAAGTTAAATAATTAACCTTGTAAGAAAAGCTAATATTTTGTTTCCCAAAAAAAATCTTAATTATCTTGTTTGTTCCCTTTGTTAAGTGAGTTTCTTAAGCATTTCTTTATTATCATTGATATACAAAATGTATTTTGAAATGGTATTTTTTAAAACTTGTCCTACTTTGTACTAATTTTAGAGGTTCATGTTCCAAGCTGGATGTGCTTGTTACTTCAACTTGAAATAACAAAATGGCCATTGTGTTACTATGTGTATGGAAGGTGATCAAACTTACAAAGTCATAGTTTACAATTACTAAAGAAACACATATCCAAAACTTTTACTGTGCTTTAAAATCATGTAAACTCCACTGACAAGTGTTAACTTCATGGTTCTTTTGTTAACATTCTGTTTAATCCATGTTCATGTCAGAGTACAGATACTTTGGTAATTTAGTTATTTTTTTAAAAGCATCATGATCATGAGGAGTATTATAATTCTGCTGAATGTTGAAAATGGTAAAATAATCTATCAGAGTTACGATTTCAATACTTATCATGTGCATTACCTTGCTCTTAATTACATAAGACCTTATATTACACAATCTTTTTAAACAAGAAGGTTTATACTGGTTTATTTGTTCATAGAGGGTTTCATGAGTTTAAAAAATGTACAATATGATTTTTTTTAATTCTGGTTTTACATATTTTGCATCTTCATATTGTTTATAATGTGAAATCTGTGAAATTTCCTTGTATTTGTTTTTAACCATTTCTATAAGGAACCTAGTTGTCATGCACGTGGTCTACTGAAGAAGTTTTTTAAATAATTTTATTTCAAAAAATGGCCATGATTGTAGAAATGTTTGATGTTTTAAATATACCATTATTAATGAGTGAAGTTTTTAACATATTTCACCTAAGAAGTTGCTACACCACCTTGAAACTACTGAGATAAAGCATATTCAGTATTATTTCATATCTTAATAGTACAGCCAATAATGATGTGCAAACTAAACAATCTTAATAACTACTGTAAATACATTTGATCATAGGATTACCTGAAGTTACAAGAACATCAAGTGATATAAAAATACTTGTTGTCCAGGCTAGATTAATTTAATTCTAAATTTACAGTAGGATTGTGTTTGTTACAGATTTTTTGATAATTTATGTATAGTTTATTAATAAAAAAAGTTAAGGCCCGGCATGGCCAGGTGGTTAGGGCGCTCGATTCACAATATTAGGGTCGCGGGTTCGAATCCTCGTCACACCAAACATGCTCACCCTTTCAGCCGTGGGGGTATTGTAATGTGATGGTCAATCCCACTATTCGATGGTAAAAGAGTAGCCCAAGAGTTGGTGGTGGGTGGTGATGACTAGCTGCCTTCCCTCTAGTCTTACACTGCTAAATTAGGGACGGCTAGTGCAGATAGCCCTCGTGTAGCTTTGCGCGAAATTCAAAACAAACAAAGAAAAGTTAAATATCAGCATAAAATACATAATATATAAGTATTCAGAATGAAATGTAGTGTTGCAGTTTCAGTTATTAACCCTCAAATTACTGACTTAAATAGATACTGTTCACTGTTTCCAGAGTCCACATATTGCATTATAGTGAATAATTTTCTGTTTTTGCCTGTCATGATGCTCAACGTAAAAAACTGGACCAATAAAATTGGATTAAATTACTCGTTTTCTACATAAGATGCTTAGGAAACCTCGGCAGTAAATAGTGGGATTAATTCTAGTATTGAAGAAATTGTTGTTTGAATTTGATTTGTCACCTGTGTGTTACTGAGAATTTTTAGCCAATAAAATCATGGACCCACAAGCAATTGAAGCAATTTGGTGTTTAAGTAGTTTAAAAAAAAATGTATTTAAAAATTCCCATCAAAATTATATAGTTAAAATGAATTTAGTGGATAGGCATTTACTGTTTAAAGGACAAAAGATTCATGTTTGTAGTATATTGTGGTTTTCCTTTTAAAAATGCTAGATTTTGTGTTCATAATCAAAGATATCTCCAAATATCATTTGCCAGGAAATTTGTTCTAATTTCACTTGCTATCACAGTAAACTTACAAAACTGTTTTTATATTAAATGATAATTTTCTTTCTTTTTCAGAAACATTTTTTTATTTTTAATAACTATGTTGGTAATTTATGAAAGTGATGTGAGGTTCATTTTAACAAAGAACTGTATTAATATCTGTTTAGTAAGAGAGTATTTCATTGTTTTTCCTTCATACTGATTTTTAAAGATTTTACCTGCCAAAAATTTTACTGAGAAGAAAGTATAATTTATGTCAAATATCATGATATTTTATGTTGTTGTTTAGATCTTTGGTGTTAGTGTTGTTTAGTGGGTAAGTAAAATCCAGCAAGGACTCAAGCAGCCCTATGAAAGCTTTGATTTGGAATTAGTATATACTAATTCCATGGCAGGACTTGTATGCAGCCATATAATTAAGGCTAGATCCTACAGAAGTTAACACTTAAAAAAAAACAAAATATGTTGTTAATTTGAAGATGTTACTACATTTTTGAGATGAGTAATTTTTTGATAAAACCAAAATTTAAAGTTTTTATCTGAATTACATCAACTGCGCTATAACCTCTTTGGCTTTTAATTGAATATTCTTTTTTGCAGTTTACAACCAATTTTTATTTAAATTAATCAAAAAAGAAGTATTATCTGTACAGCAATGCCCTTTGCAAAGCATTCACATAAGAAACACTGCACTTACACACATATTTGAACTTGCAATTTAGGCAGGTTGCAGAAGTAAATATTTTGTTTATTCTTATTTACAGATGTAAGTATTAATGTTGGAAAGTAAAGATGTTTCATGTTTCTAATGTTCTTCATAACATATTTCTGTGTAGAGTACCACTGTTATGACTCACAAAAATTGAGCATTTGTTTTTACACATTTAAGGCTAACTTTCCGTGTATGCTTATTTATAAACACAAAATAAAAAGTTATTTTTCATAGTTAGGTTCCTGTCTTCAATAATGTTTAAGAAATATATATACACTAAGATATTTTGAAAGTGATCAATTTAAAAGTAGATTAAGAAGGATAACATTGCACGGTTTGTTTTATTTTATGACTTTTCATGCAACACTTTTTTTTTGTGTGGGAATGTGTTATAATGTGAACTAAAGAAAGAAGATACTAATAAAATATTTTTACACTACGGAACTTTTGTCATTTCACATCTTTATTATTAATGTACAACGTTTCAACAAGGTTATGTACCTGATGATGACATAACCTTGTCGAAACGTTGTATATTTATAATAGTTTTCTTCATTACCCATTCTTGCCATCACCAAACTTTTATTTTAATACAAGAAGTAAATGACCTTATATCACTAAAATGTTGTTATTATTTAATTACACACTCAACGTTTCGCTTTACAGCTTTCTCAGGAGCGTTCACTAAAACACAAACACTGAATAGTCCGTTGAATTACCCCCCCCCCCCCAAAAAAACTTATTATTATTAAATCTACTATATCTTGGTCGATAAACGTTTATCATCGTCTTTAGCATGTTTTATAAAATTAATTTAAAATGTATATATTAATGGCGAAAATAAGAAAGTTATGTTCTATGCAGAATTGTTTTGCATGGTTACAGAGGATTAGTGTTTGTAGAATTTCGAGAAGAGCTACTCGAGGTTTATATGCGCTAGGCGTCCCTAATCTTGAAGTTATAGAAAAGTGCAAAGGCAACTAGTTAACACTGCCAACTTGTGGGGTACTCTAATCGAATTGTGGGATTTGACCGTCACTCTCGTAACGCAATAACGGTCCCAAGGCGTGTTTTTTTACTAACTACTAACTGTTGGAACGCGCTCGGTGATATTTGCATGAAGTCGCGATATGTAATATAAATACCCATTTGCATTATTAAGTTGACCAGTTCTTATCGTTTTCTTAAATGATTGTTGAATGTTTTAGTTTAGTGGCTAATTTTTAATGGTTTCAGAACTTGTTGCTCTCCTAAATGTTTTGTTTCCACTGGAGATATTAGACACTTTTACTTAAATGATGTGTCCTTTAGCTGTACATTGTTAAGGAATCTCCGTTGTACGAATAATTCTCTTGAGGCAGGGTTTATATATATATATACATTTCGCGTGTGTTTGTGTATGTTTCTTACAGCGAAGTCACATCGGGCTATCTGCTGTGTCCACCGAGGGGAATCGAACCCTTGATTTTAGCGTTGTAAATCCGTAGACTTACCACTGTCCCAGCGGGGGACATATATTTCGTAAGCTATAAATAAGTTTACCGTGACGACATTGGCACTATCAAATGGTCGGAAATTTGTCGTGAGCTAATTTAATCGAAAATGTAAATGCTAAATGTAACTCCACTGAATTAGCATATACATCTCTTTCTTTTAAAATATGATTAGCTCATTGTACATCTGTAATTAGTCACATAAAGATGATTGAGTACTTTATGTGTAAATCAGCAAGTCACTTGACAACCACAGCTAAAATAAAGTCGCGGAGAAACCACATTTGGACATTGTTTGGCATTTCGTAAGCAATGTGATGTTACCCAAAATTAAACACTTAGTAAAGGTATGTAACATCCATTTCCAAAACGTAATATACATACACTCAGATCATAAAGGTGTATTCAGGTCAGAGATTTAGAATTTTCAAGACAGGTTTGCCTCTTGTACTTAATGGCATTAAAAAAAAAAGAGGAATATGGATTAATTTGGGACACCAGGATTATCCAGAAAGAAACCTGCAGCAAGTTTTACCCCAGCCGTTATAAGCAAAGTGTGGCGTCTTGCAATACGCGAGAATTCTCGATCACAAATTTATGTAACAAATGTCTACGAGGCCCAGGCAACAGTACGCAACATAAAAAGTGACAAAAGTCACGTGTACTCAAGTTGTTTCCATGATGTATGGAGAGTGAAATGAGTATCCATGCTGTTACATACGAAGACATATCAGTTGCCAGATGCAGCACCTGTGAATTTCTGAGCATCCAGACTTTTGAAACAGGTGCTGAGATACTGTCATATTCATACACTAGATGCCTAATGGAAAACACCAGGGAGTAGGGGGGTGCTTTTGATGGAAATTACACTGCAGGACTAGTGAATATGCTGCACAGTGGTTAGATAGAGTATAACCATGCTTGACAACATGGACTCTAAAGACTTGACGAGGCTCAAATTTCGTTTTAATATACTGTATTCAACTTCTATATTTAAAGAGCATACAAAAATCTCTAATAATTAGTAAATCATATGCAGTATTTTTTAAACAAAGCTATTAAAATATAGGTTTTGTTTAACAATTTAGAATTTCCTTTTTGTAAAAATAATGATAACATTGATAACAAGCAGCAAGTAAACATTGACAAAAAAGCAAACCACTAAAATGCTATAAAATTTAACAGCTCACAACATGATATTTAAATTCTATCGACCATTCAACATCAAAGTAGTTCTTATCAAAAAACACAAACTGTTGAATACGTTCAAAAATACCTTAGCCCTTAAGTAAAGTGATGGCTCTGACAAGTGGCGACGAAGAGGTTGAGTAATCAGTGTACACTGCTCTGGCCTAAGCTAAGTATTATGAGCAGCTACCGCTACTCTGTTCGTCAATTTAATATACTAGTCATTTCTTTTTCATACTATGTTTGAATATGGAGATGTGGCTTGTGCTTTTTCATTATGTGTGGGTTCCTGAGGTGTACTCCACGTCACGTTCCCTGTGCAAAGGAAATGCAATCTACGTTTTCAGTGCTAGTGGCTGTACCGTTGCATATGAGTTGGATACAGTCAGACTCAAAAGGTGCTCTTTGAAAGTACTGCACTCTGTTCGAACCAGAGGGAGCAGGTGTTAGGAGGCAGCAATTGGGAAAGGTCGAGAAAGTTCCTATTTGAAACTGGGAAAAGGGTTTAATGCCCATAAAAGAACCACATGGGATGTTTTGTGAGTGCAGAAAATCTTCTTACTATTGATGTAAAAAGAAAAAAGATGGATTCCATTGGATAGTGAGAAAAGAGAAATCAAGAAAATTCGTTGTCCGGCTCTGATCATGATTGAGACAGTCATTATCTGCAGTGGATAGGACTTACCATTTTGTGGTCACAGAG